CTTCCAGTTTCCATTTTTCTCTCCATGGCATCATCATTCCCTCACCCACCCGAGCTCAAAACCTGAGTCATGCATGATGCCTCCTCCCCATTTGTCCTTCTCAGTAGCAAGTCTTGCCAGCTTCCTTTGTAACATCTCTTGCTGCCTGACCTTTCCATTCTCTCTGCTTAGCCAAGTCTCACCAGTCCATGCCTTGAGTATGTAGGAGCTTCCTCCTCTTCCTTTCCTACCTGGCCAGCATGATTTCCAGAATGCCTTTCAGAATGATTATTTTTCTCTTCTCTCTCTCCTGCTCAGAAACCTTCACAAGTAAAGTTCAGGCTCAGGCCTAAGAGCTGTTTTGCTTGACACCAGCCTGCCGCATAGACATTGGCTCCCATGACTCAGCTTGCAGGTTCTGGAACCACATTCTGCCCGGCAACCTTGGCTGAGCAGAGAGAATGGAAATGTCAGGCCATGAGAGACATTATGAAGGAAGCTGGCAAGACTTGCTACTGGGAGGACAGATGGGGAGGAGGCATCATATGTGACTCAAGTTTTGAGCTTTGGTGCGTGCAAGAGTAATGATGCCATGGAGAGAAAAATGCTGTGTGACCTTGGGTATGTATTCAGCTTCTCTGTGCCTGAGTGTTCTTTAAATTGGGGACAGCAGTTGTTTCTAGGACTTACTGTAAAGATAAATAACAATGCTGTGTATATGTTATTGTTGTTAGGTGCCTTTGAGTCAACTATGATTCATAGTGATCCTATGAACAACAGATCTGCACTCTGTCCTATTTTGAGTCATCCTTCCAATCTCTGATACACATAGGCTCATTGTCAGTCACTTCCATCTTGTTGAGGGTCTTCTTTCTCCGACCTTCCACCTTTCGCAGCATGATGTATAATGATGATGATGATTTTCGGAGAGGACATGCCCTGCCAGAGCAGCTGCATACCTGTCCCCTGGGCACATTCTTCATCCCCATCACCCTCTTCTTTCAGCCCCTTCCCGCCCTGTGGAGTGTCACTATCAGCCTGCTAACTCTGTCATCCTTCATGGGTCCTTCTGAGAGAAGCCAGCCACAGGCCAGACATGGAAGGCAAACTTAAACTTGATACTAAGTAGATTCATACATTTTTATGTTGAAACAACTATTCCAGGCATATCAAGGAGTAGAATGAAAAAGTGAAGGAAGATTTTTCAGGGTAAATCACAAAAACTAGTAAGAATGCTCAGAGAAACCAAGTTGTAGGGCTCTCTGCCCCACTGGGGTCCACATTCAGTGTGCAGGGAAGGCCTAGTAGGCCCAGCTGCTGTGAGCACCAGGGGCCAGGTGTGTGTGCAGGAGGCTGGACATGTCTGGTCCCTACGCCCAGGCCTGTGTCAGCCAGGAGGGCCGGGCCTCTCTGGCCCACAGGGCGCTCCTTCCTGAGGACTGTGTCTGCTCCACGCCTGCTTCCCTCTTGGACATTCCCAGTCCAGCTGCCTTTGAGTTGACCCAGTACCTGGCATCTGCTTGTCCGAGTAGAACTGCCCCTCAGGGTTATGAGTGGTGGAATGTTAAAAATTAGATAACTAGACCTGTCTTCAGAAGTGCTGCTGAGTGAATTTGAACTCTGCCTGTTGCCACCACCCAGGATCTCCTTTCTCGTCGATGGTGTTTGTTTCACCTGTCTTTTATTTCACACACACACATAGGGCTTAACGAGTTAATGAAATCACAGGCATGGGTGGCAGGGGGCAGAGCAGGACGGTGACATGGTGCCAGATAGACTGGGGTTGGAATTCAGGCCCTGGTGTATTCGACCTGAGCAATTCACTCCACTTCTCAGCCTTGCTCCTTATCTCTAAACTGTGGTTAATACTTCCCTCAGGCGATCTTTCTGAGGATGCAGTGAGATCCCTGCATGTAGCATGATCCTGGCAGGTGGCAGCCACAGCACTGCAGCCAGGAGGTTCTTCCCCAGCAGCCCTGGGCCTCACAGCCTGTGACTCCTTGTAGCTCTTCAGCCCGCATTTGGCCACATGCTCGGCCTGGCTTCCTCTCTCCAGGGGGTGTGCTAATTCCTGGCCCTGAGACTATGCTCATACCTTTGCCTCCAAGCATGCATCATTAATTCCCCTCCTGACTGGATCCTGCCATTCAGCATGTAATTGTGCTATGATATTGATCTACCCAAAACACAAAAAGCCCTCCCTTGATCCACCTTCCTTCTGGTTCCACCCAATTTCTCTGCTCTGTGAGTGAAAAAGTTCCCCTGAAGGTTTGCATCCACAGTACATCCACATGGACTGCCTACCTGAGGCCCCTTTAGTCAGGCTGTGGGCCCACTGCTCACTGTCCTGTCTCCAGTAGTCTCCTGGTTGCCAAGTCTAGCACATGCCGTCAGGCTTCTTAGCGCACCGTCTCTGAGCAACACCTGAGACCATTAGTGAATCCTGCCTCCTTGAAGTCCTTCTGGCCAGGCTCCCAAGGAGCCCCCACTCTCCTGGTTTTCCTCCATTCCTACCAGCTCCTCGTCCATCTCTTTTGCTGGATGACCCCTCTCTTCCCATTGCTTCTTACCTCTCTGTCCACTCCTACATCATCTCCATTCTTATGGCCTCAGACACCATCTAAAAACACCTATGTCTGCATCTCCTCTTCCAGCCTTTTGGACTCTCAGGTCAGACTCCTCCTGTTTCCCCTTGATGTGTCAGTCCCTTCCAACTCAATGTCTGAAACAGAGTGCTCGATTCCCCACCCCACCTTTCCCACAAGTTTTCCCATTTTGAAAGTAATAGGAACTCTGGTCACCCATGCCAAAACCTTAGGAGTTCTTGATTGTCTTTCTTAAACCTCACGGTTAACCAGTCAGCAAGTCCTGTCCATGCCACCTTCAAATAGAGAATCAAACACTTCTTACCACTTCTGCCCACTGTGGTCCAGAACACCAGGACCTCTCGTGTTGACGACCTCAGTTAGCTATTTCTGCCTCAGGCCACCCATCCAATAATCCATTTTCTACCAGTTGTCAAAGTAATGTTCTCAATGTTTGATTGTCATTCTTTGGCTTAAAACCATCCAGCGTCTTCCCTTCTCAGAATAAAATCCAAATCTCTTATTCTGGTCTCTAAGGCCCTAAAGACCATCCCTACTTCCCTGCTACTTCTGTGCTGTTTCTCCCATGCTGTCCCCACTCCCTTGCCCAGCCACGGTGGCTTCCATGCACGCTGATGGACAGACACACTCTCGCTCTGGGGTTTGCCCTTGCTCTGCCTTTTGCCTAGAATGTCAGCGTATGTGCACATTCACACTCCTTCACATCTCTCATGTTTCCGCTCAAATGCCACCTCCCCAGGCAGCCGTCCTGACCACTCTAAAGTGGTGTGCTGGCATCCTCTGACCCTTATTTCTCCCACCTCACATGACATTGACATGTTTGTTTTTTTCTCCTCCCTACTAAGAACAGCACACAAGACCTTCGGTGCCTAAGCAAGCATTCCCTGGCAGGTGCCCAGTACATAGGCTTGAGTGGACATGGACTCTCCTGTCTTGCCACTTCCCTGCTTTATGATGTTGGATGTTATCTAACCTTTCTGTGCTTCTGTTTCATCTGTAAAATCTCCTATGAAGCTTTTTTAGGATGATTACAGAGAATATATATTTAAAGTCTGAAACATAGCCAGCACTTAATGAAATAGACCCTAAAAAGGCTATTTGGCTTCTCTGTAGGCCTGTGTCAGAGGAGTTAATAATCTCATTCTTGTTTGGCCCATGATGGAGACTGATGTGTTAAGTGAAGGAAGGGAACATTGATTCATTTTCCTTGTCAGACGCTGTCTAAGGGCCTCTAAGCTTTGTTTCTGGATCCAGCCAGTTCTCCACCACAACCCCCTCAACATAGGAGCTGCTTCTGAGCAGGTCCAGCAGTTTGAGACTCTCCCCTAAGCCTGTTTTGGATCCAGGTGGCTCCCATTATGAGAAGCAGAAATGTTTGCTGAGAATGTGTGTGTCTGTTTGGTCTCTGAGGAATGGTTCCCGAGGAGCCAAGTCTGGGGTGAGCAACACAAGGTAGGCTCCCTGTGTCCCAGGTGAGATTCCCCTGGCTGTCAATGAAGGAGTTCCCCTGTGTAACGCCAGGTGGCGCCAGATGCTGCCTAGTGCTGGCGACGACTGGGTGTCCTAGGGCTCCTGACTTCCCAGGCCCAGAACCTACACTCACTCCCACTACCCTCTTGCTGGAAACTGCCAGCCAACACAGGGCCTCGTTGAGGGTCTAAAGGTCAGCATTCCAGGATTTTTATTGATAAGCATCCTTGCCCTGTGTGCTCAGCCAGTCTCTGCCCTGAGACAGAGGAAGTGCACCTTAGCCTCAGTGGCCTGACTCGGCTTCTGCCAAGGCTGTTCGCAGTGCATCACACTCCTCCCCGGAGTCCCAGTGTTTAGGGAGAGGTGTGGTAGGCTCAGGTCCTGTCCTCACAGACACTCTGTATCTAGGCAGGGAGACCAGGCTTCCTCTGCATGGGCTTGGAGAAGAGTTCCTGGAGCCTGGAGGCTGGAGGGGAGGGGTGGGCCATGGAGACCCACAGTTCAGGCCTTTGTCTTCTCTGCCACATGTTCTCCATAGCAGAGCTGAGCAAGCAGCAACTGGCTCTTGCAAGCAGAGTTTGTGATGGGTGCAGGACTGTCACGGGGCAGGAGGTCCAGGGCAGCATTCAAAGGGGATAGCGATGCCAGAGGCTGTGGAAGGTGGGGTGAAAAGGGGACACGCCCCGCAAGTTGTCAGGAAGCCCTTTAGTGAGCTGATCTTAACCACCCCAGTCCTTAGCCATTGGCTGTTGTCCCTGGCCAACTCCATAGTCCTTCTCGCCCTCCCTGCAACAGCTCGGAGAGCACCTCCTTGGAGGGCCTTTCTGCCTGTTCAGCAAGGACAGAGGGTGAAGAGGACCTAGACCTGCACCCACATCTCCCCGAGGCCAACCCAACCCCTAGGACCAGGATCTCTGGATGTCTTGCTCCCAACCTGTCTCTGACCTGAACTGGAAACGGGGGTCTCCGGGGTGGGTCTGTAGCACCTGATGTACTTCCAGGGGAGGGTCCAAGCCCATCTGCTCTGCCCGATGCCAGCGCTGCAGCCGTGTGATCCCTGCCAGTGAGAAGATGACAGGAGATCTCATGGGGTCTGAAGGCACAGGGTGTCCAGAGCCTCATCCTGGTGCGGGGACACTGTCCAGAGCAGCAGGCAGGGCATGGGCTTGGGGCGTGGAGGGGGCCCCTGAGGCCGGCGCTCACCTGTGCAGGGCCCGTACTGCCAGGCCAGGTCGAACTGCCTGAGCAGTTCCAGCTGCTCTTCGTCTAGGTCGGTGCCAGGGAATTGGGGTTCCTCCCCTGCAAAATGAGGCTCCCCTCAGGTCGGGCGCTCGGACGTCCCTTGCTGTCCTGTAGCTACCTGGTCATGCTAGCCGCTCCCTCCCATCTCCCATCTCTCCTCCGGGGCCACAGCACCCCTCCTCCTCCGGCTGCCCCACACCTCAGAGACCTGGCTCAGCTGCCAGCTCCCCCTTGCTGTGCCCGGCCGGCCCCTCCCGCCTCTTCACCACGGGGTAGGAGTCAGTGATGAGCCGCTTCCGGCCCATGGCGGCCACCCAGGCAGGCAAAAGGGCGAGACTGGCCAGGGGCGAGAAAGACAGCTGCTGAGCGCGAGAAGGGGCCAGCGCTGGGCAGACGCGGTGACCCAGACGCTCGGAGGGAGGATGTCCGGCAGGTTCCAAGGGTGATGCTCCCCACCCCCACAGGCTCACAAACAGGAAAGGCGTGAGCCAATGGCAGGCCCGCTGTGCAGGGCGGAGCCGCGGCTTGGCCAATGGCGGGCGGCGCGGGGAAGGGGCGGGTGGGCTGCTGGACCTGTCAAAAGGCCTCAGACTTCCCCACCTCTGCCTGCCCCCCTCGGTCCGCAGCTGGGTCCCCCGGGACTGCGGGAGCGGTCTCCTCGGCCTCTCACTTCCCGTTTGCCCTTCCTAGGCAAATGTTCTTTCAGCCTCACTAATCCCCGTGGCCGTTTTGTAGCTCCCCAGAGCCTCACTGGAGCCTTCCGCCGGCCTCTTGGCCCAGGAGCGTTGTGGGGGCAGGTTTGGAGGTCCGAGGAGCGGCCACGCTAATCCAGTTCCTTCCCTGCTCCCACCCCACCCCCACAAGCCCAGGAGACCTGGCTGGGAAGCCCATGGGTTCTCCGTTCTTCTTTCTCACAGTCTGCGCCCAGAGACTGCCCCCTCGCTGTCGGCCAG